TTTAGTATAGTGAGGTTTCTCTCTCTCTCTCTCTCTATATATATATATATATATATATATATATGGAGAGGTTCAAATAAAAACCTCAATATCCTAAAAATTAAAAACCAATCCTCTCCATTGGATCTAGATTCAATCAATGGCTGAGATTATAAGACTATTACAGCTGCATAAGGGTAAAATTAGAACAATTCACTACATTAATTGTGGCTGGCAATATTGGAAACTGGAGATAATGATTAAAACAAAAAATACAACACGTCCTCTCTCTCCAAAATCACAGCAACTCTCTCTCTGTCTTCAACATCTCCCTATCCACGGTCTTCTTCAACCTTCGTCTTCAACCTTCATCTTCAACCACTGTCTTCAACCTTTGTCGTTGTTAAATTATTTTGACGCTTTAATGGTAAGTTTATGAAATTTGTTTGATTTTTTGTCTAAAAGTTTTAGTTTTAACCTTAAAGATCGTAGCTTTTTGTTGTAAAAGGTGAAATATTTCACCTTTTAGTCTGAAAAGTTTTTTGTTTTTTGAAGAAACCAGTTGTCTCTCTCTCTCTCTCCAAAATCACAGCAACTCTCTCTTCTTCAACCTTCGTCTTCATGGTTTATGAAATTATTTTGACGCTTCGTCTTCACGGTCTTCTTCAACCTTCGTCTTCATGATTCAGTGGGCTGTTAAATTATTTTGACGCTTTAATGGTAAGTTTATGAAATTTGTTTGATTTTTTGTCTAAAAGTTTTAGTTTTAACCTTAAAGATCGTAGCTTTTTGTTGTAAAAGGTGAAATATTTCACCTTTTAGTCTGAAAAGTTTTTTGTTTTTTGAAGAAACCAGTTGAAAAACGAAGACACGCATGAGTGAATCTATATTCACTGCATTGAATCTCGATTCACAGCAGTGAATCCAGATTCAGTATGTGAGGTGTTTGTTTTTTACCATAAAAATCATAATTTTTTGCTGTAAAAGGTGAAATCTTTTCATGGTTTAAAATTTTGTAGCTTGTTTTTTACCATAAGTTTCTTATTCTTTTTGTTTAAAATTTTATAGCTTGTTTTTTACCATAAGTTTCTTATTCTTCAATATAATCCAGATTCAATGGAGTGAATCCAGATTCACTGGAGTGAATCCAGATTCACTCCAGCGAAAGCTTGGATGGTTAGGATGGTTTTTAATGAATTATTGAAGAAATAAATGCATGTGTTGTAATTTCGAAGAAATAAACGCATGAGTGAATCTAGATTCACTGCAGTGAATCCAGATTCATGTATGTGATGTGTTCGTTTTTTACCATAAAAATCGTAACTTTTTGCTGTAAAATGTGAAATCTTATCATGGTTTAAAATTTTATAGCTTGTTTTTTACCATAAGTTTCTTATTCTTTTTGTTTTTTATTTTTGCAGATTTGCTATTGTTTGATAACGAGTTTCAGTCCAGTGAATCTGGATTCAATTAAGTGAATCTAGATTCACTCCAATGAATCGAGCTTGGATGGTTAGGATGATTTTTAATGAATTGTTGCTGTGTTCTTCATGCGAAGATGGAAGATCAAAGCTTGATAGAAGATGGAAGTGAGTTACAGAGAGTATTAAAGGACGTGTTGTATTAAAGGACGTGCTGTAAAAGTGAGTTAGAGAGAGAAATGGGGAAGTGAAAGGACGTAGCACGTTGATAGTAAGAGAGTATTAAAGGACGTGTTGTATTTTTGGTTTTAATCATTATCTCTAGTTTCCAATGTTGCCAGCCACTTTTAATGTAGTGAATTGTTCCAATTTTACCCTTTTCACATTGTTTTTTTACAGCTGATGTGTATTAAATTTGTCTATATTTATAATTCTGCCATCGAAATGTAGGTCATTAGATTAGATAGATTGGAGGGTTAGGATTGGTTTTTAGTTCTCTAGGTTTTTATTAGAACCTCTCCCTGTTACAAACCTTAAAAATTCATGCTAAAACTATTAAGATTCTTTTCAAATGTTTTTCCTAATGTTTTGGAGTGGATTTAATGAGATTTAATAGGGTTCTCTCCTTCTTTTTGGTTTTTTTTCTAGTAATAGAAGACTATGTTTTGGGAAACCAAAACCCTAATTCTACCCTAACTTCCTAATTAGAATTAGGAAAAAATGCTTCCAGCCCCCAAAACCAATAAAAACGTGTTCCCCCCCCAAAGAGTTTTTCAACGCTCTTAAAACCCAGAAATTCGTAAGAACTATGCACTGAGCCCCCAAAACACAAAGCTCAAGAATTTTACACAGGTAAATACTATAATACCCATTCTCTCTCTCTAATATTATATTCGTAATAACCATACAATCCCTCCTCTCTCCCTCCTCCTTCCCCCACCATTTTTGCCCTAGCCCCCTCCGTCCCTTCTGCAACCCTCGTGGCGGCCGAAGCTCCTCTCCGGTCTCACGCCTCGACCCCTCGCCTCCGCTCGCCGAGATCCTCCGTGTCCACCGCCGATCCCAGCGCGGCCTCCGCTCGACCCCTCGCCTCTGTTCCCAACCCAATCCCTCCTCCCCCAGACGCCACATCAAACCCCCCTCTCCATCCCTCAGGTCCATCATCCCCCACCATCTATAGTGCTGTCGTTCTTGGAAATTATTGTACTTTATGTCTTTTCATACAACTTGTGCGTGTGTGTTAAATACCCCCGCTGCCATCAAGAACATGCTCGTCGTTGTCGAGTTTGCCACTGCTCAAAATGAGAAGAGCAAGAAGATCTACCCCTTCATGGTCAAGCTTAGCCGCACGTGCATCGACGTCGACTTCCTCCTCGTCATGGCCGATGAGTCCGATGAGACCCGCCGGCTCTGCTTCCGCGAGAAGATCGAAAAGATCCCCACTTCAGATTTTACAAGTCCATGCAGAAGGTCCATGAGAAGGACGCCATCGGGTCGGATCAGCTGATGGGCAACGTCCTTTACTACGGGGACCACCACTCCCTGGTGGTCCAGCTGCACTCCAGGGGACGTCGAGTCCTAAATCGAGCGGAGCAAGGAAGACGGGAAGCTGCTGGTCCTGGACATAGGCCTCAAGCACTATGGGCCATGCGTCAAGGTCTACCCAACGGTTATAGAGCTGTCGAGGTCCATGAAGGACAACATGGCGTTCGCTAGGATGAACGGGGACGAGAACGAGAGCTGCATGGAGTTTTTGAAGGACATGGATGTGGTCGAGGTCCCTACGTTTTTGTTTAAAAGGGATGGGGAGATTTGTGGGAGGTACGTTGGGAGCGGGAAAGGGGAGCTCATTGGTGAGATACTTAGATACCAAGGGGTTAGGGTTACTTGTTAAGGTTATACAGATTGCTTGTTAATGTTACATGTTTGTTGTTAAGCTTACGCATTGCTTGTTAAGGTTACGGGTTAACAACCAACGCGTAACATTAAAAAGCAACCTGTAACCTTAACAAGCTATATGTAAATCGCTTAGCAATGCGTAACCTTAACAAGCAACCCGTAACCTTAACAATCAACGTGTATAACCTTAAAAAGCAACCCGTAACCTTAACAACCAACGCGTATAACCTAAACAACCAACGTGTAACCTTAGCAAGCAACCCATAACCTTAACAACCAATGCGTAACCTTAACAACCAATGCGTAACCTTAACAAGCAACCCGTAACCTTAGCAAGCTACATGTAAATCGTTTGGCAACGCGTAACCTTAACAAGCTACATGTAAATCGCTTGGCAATGCATAACCTCTTGTCTAACCTCCCAAACTTTACCACTAGGCCAAGTGGCATAAAGTATTTATATCACTCAAAATATATATACATATATATCACAACCCGTAAACTTAACAACCAACCGTAACCTTAACAACTGACCCGTAATCTAAACAACCGACACGTAATCTTAACAACCAACTCGTAACCTTAATAACTAACACGTAACCGTAACAACCAACGTGTGACCTTCACAACCCATAACCTTAATGTTAGACCCTCGNGGGGGGGGGGGGGGGGAGTGATTAGGGTCTTATGCTAATCTAATCCGATTTTATACCAATTAAAACTTATTAATAAATTATTCTTGCAAGATGGATTTATAATATGTTATAAGTAAGAATATGCAATATGAACAAAGAGATATATCCTATATGGTAAAATGTATATAAGGATATATAAACAACACAAGGGTAAACAATCTAAACTAAAGATACAATTGTGATAGGGTAATATAAACAATGCAAATACATAATATGATCACGGAGTTTAGACCTTCCGTCCTACGTCTCCGCTCCCCACTCCCGGGGAGAAATCCACTATCACAACCGGGTTTTCTACGCTAACCGAATAACGTTTACACCACACAATATCGGTTTTCAACGCTCACCGATCAACGTTCACAATCTCACAATGTAACTACACTTCATACCCTCTAAGTATTGGTCTCTAGTCCGTGTCATTCCTCAAGTGCTCGGATATAACCTCTCCCTAGGTTCGTCAACCGAGGCCACTCCTCTTGGAAGCGACCTCATCTCTCACCACACACTCCTCTCGGTATACTACAAAGTGAATCTCATAATAGGCTCACGATACAATTAATTTGTTCTCTAATATAGATGAGAATACAATATAAGCTCACACTCAATTGTTACAAATCTCACCAACCCAAATATACTATATATGAAAATACAATAAGCTTAAGTAGGTGTGTGTAAACAATGAGTGAAATAAAATCAACAAAACTCAAATGTAAATACTAGCTTAATAGAAATGATAATCAATAAATAATTATAAATAAAAGCTAGAATTGGGTTTAGGAATGTTGGCCTTCTTGTTTTGATGATGATTTACAAACAATTTACTATTAATGTTATTTGTCTAGTGTTTGTATATTCATATGTATTGTAGACAAACAACGTAGTTGGAGGATGGATGGAATAGAGCTTCAACGATCATATCCAAAGGAGGTTGGCGGAATGTCGGTGAAGTCTTGCAATTCAAAGTTAAAGATCAAGTTCAAGCTTCATCCGCGAGATTACCAAGTAGAGCTTATTGAAGACCAATCAAGCTTGGGTAATTTAGTTTAGGAATTTATATTATGTGTGTTAAGTACGTTAAGCTCAATATCTATACACACACATTATGTTGGTTCTTCATATATAGGCATATATATATATGATATAATATATATATATATTTATATATATATATATATTATATTATATATATATATAAATATATCTATTATTATATATATATTATATATATTATAATATATATGTTATAATATATATATATATATATACAGTTATGTTTTGGTTTTATAGTTCGGGCTTATAATATGAAACAAATGCATAAAATTGGAAAATATATTTTGGTTTCATGCTTATTATGGTATATATATATGTTTCATCTTTAACGAAGCTTATATTTAATGAAATCATATTTAGGTGTTTTTGATATATTGCATAGAATTATGCCTATTTTGCTGAAAATATTAGTTTATTCTTAGTTTGTCAGACTTGAATATCGAGTTACTTAATACATGTTTATTTACTAAGTCTATTAAAAAAACATTCTCACAAAGTTTCAAAAGTTGGCTTTATGTCAAACATCAAAATTCAACGTTCTCTCATATTTTTCATGTTTTGGACTGTTTGTAAAATGCATGCATATTTTCATTGGGAAGTCCTTTTTCAAACCATTATTGTAGACATGTTTATTATCATGTCTACATCATTCCCCAAGTTTACATTTTTTGGATTTTATTTTTGATATTTTTAAACAGTGATTTTTAAATCAGGTAAAACATGTTTTCCATAGTCAGGATTTCGTGTCGCGCACGGTCGATCACGAGGTCATTTGTTCATTTTTACCATGCGACAGAGAGCTTGTCGGATCGACCGGTCCGGTCGACCGAAAGCTCCATCGGTCGACCGCACCGGTCGACCGACGATGGTCCAGAGCCATTCTTCATGTTTTTGCTCTCTGTCGGTCGACCGACGAAATTTCCGGTCGACCGACTATATGACCGTTGCTTTTTTCAACGGCTATTTTCTGAGCGTTTGCTGGGGCTGTTTTGTCTTTTTTGCTTGGGGTTTTTGTTGAGATCTTGAGTGGGTATAAATACCCAATTGCTGATCTCTTTTTAAGTGATCTAAGAATGTTTTAAAATAAGTTTTTAAACAAGGGTTTTAAAAAGAGTTTAAGCTTGTTTAAGCTTGTTTAAGGGTTTCGTTTAAGCTGTTTTGGTTTTCACAAGTGGAGGAGATTATCTTCTTGTTTGGGCTCCAATCTCCATCTCGCCATCTTGATCTAGAGAAGTGTTTCTAAACTCATCTAGCAATTTATTATTTTTATAATTTCCATAAGCTAGATTTATATTTGAGTTTAGTTTAATTGTTTTATTGATACTCTTTGTTCACACACAACCTATTGAGCTTATTGTATTTACATTCATAGTATAATTTAGGGTTGTGGGTTTGTGACATTGAGAGTGAGCTTAATTGAGTTCTCACATTGTTTAGAGAACAATCAATTGATTTATATTGTGCTTAATTGTGAGGATTCACTTGTAATACACTTGTACACCGAGAGAAGTGTGTGGTGAGAGACGGGGTCGAATCCAAGAGGAGTGGCGTCGGTTGACGTGCCTAGGGAGAGGTTGTAACCGAGCACTTGAGGAGGAGGACACGGGCTAGGACCAACACTTAGTGTGTGAGGTGTGATTGCATAGTGATTGTATTGTGAGGTGTAAACGTTGTTCGGGTGAACGTAGAAAACCCGGTTGTGATATGATAGTGGATTTCTTCCCGGGAGTGGGGAGCGGAGACGTAGGACGGAAGGTCTGAACTCCGTGATCATATCTTGTGTTTGAGTGTGCTTTGGCGTTTATTTATTCTTGTGTTTATATTTCTTATCGCCATTGTCATTAGCTCATTATTTATATGATCCACTATCTAGTTCACATTGTTTACCCCTTGTGTTAGCTTCATATCCTTGCATTTATATATTTCATAATATAGGATATATCCCTTATTTACATTGCTTATCCTAGTTCATATATATTGTTATATTTCATACTTGCTAGGATAACGTATTAATTAATTTTAATTGGCATATAATCGGATTAGATTAGCATAAGATCCTAATCACCCCCCCTCTAGGGTCTAACAAGGAAAACTTCTCTAGATGAGAAGAGAGAGAGAGAGAGAGATGGATTAAAGCTCAAACACCAAGTGATGATCTCTTCTAACTCTTGTGAAATTGATTTCACAAAATCAAACTCTCAATTACTTAAAATCTTTTTAAACTAACTTTAAACAAAACTAAAACCCTTGTTAAAACTTTCTTAAACTTGTTTAAAACACTCTTATTGTTAGTGGGAGAATTGAATGCAATGGGGTATTTATACTCACTCAAAACTTCAGCAAAAACCCCACTGAAAAGACACAAAAGGCCTCAGAAAAACTGAGATGGAACTAGCCGTTAGAATCCAATGAATAGTTCGGCTGTCAACCGTAAGATTTGCGCGGTCGACCGCGAGCACCTCCAGAAACTCATTCTGGGCTCTGGACATCATCCGGTCGACCGTGGCGGTCGACCGCAAACTGATACATGCAATTGACAGGTTTAAAAACCGTTTTCTGATTTTGAAACCCTATTTAAAAATATCAAATAAATTCCAAAAAAAATAAAACTTTAGAAAATGTTTGTAGACATGATAATAAACATGGTACAACAACTGGTTTTCAAAAAGGACCTCCCAAATAAAAAATATCATTATTTTATAAAATAGTCCAAAACATGAAAATGTAAACATATGAGTTTTGACATTTTAGCTTAACCATATTTTGAAACAATACAAAATGATTATATAGACTTAATAAAAGATGTATATGATTGTTATTAAGTCCATAAACTAAGAAAATAATATTTTCATAAAATTGCATATTTTGCAAACATTTCAAAAGTAAATTGTAAGGACCGTGAAATTTTAATACTAGTTAAAATAATTTTTTAAAATTTTAAAATATTTAATTATGATTTTTAAAAGAGTATTTATATTTTTCTAGAATTTATACAATTTTCTATGATTTAAAGTCAAAGTTTTATATTTATTTAAATGATTTAAATATTTATAAATTTTTTTAGGGCAGTAAATATTTCTAGAATTTATCCGTTGTGTTACCGATACTATTACGTATCATTTTGAATAATATGTGGTATTATTGTTATTATTACGTATATTTTGTATAATACGTTGTATTATTAATTACATATTATTTGCATAATTTCTTGTATTATTCTTACTGTTGCGTATTATCGATCATATTAGTACAACTGGTACGTTTTACCATGTACGTAATTATCCCATAATTATATGATTTTAAAAATAAGTAAATATATTTTATTTATTAATTATTCTCTTTTAATTGTATATTATGGGTATATTTTGACTATTTCGTATCAACTATTGTATTAGCACAACGTGTACATTTTTAACTGTAGATAATTATCCCGTAATTATTTTGATTTTTAAATATCAGTAGTTATTTATTTTTAATTAATTTTGTTTTAAAATAATTAACCCTAACCCTAATATACCCTATATATATATGTTTATATATACTCTATTTGTATTTTTCTTCTTCCTCTCTTGTTTACGCCGAGCCCCCAATAGGCATTTCTCCTTCTCCTCTCTCTGTCCACGAGACCAATCCACCGCTCTATCGGCCACCGCCACCGTCGACCACTGCCGCTCGCCTCGAGTCTCTGACAACCGTTCACAACACGTTCGCCTCTCTCGTCGCACACGAATACCGACCACCGCCAGGACACATCATCCACGCCGCCTGTCCCTCGACGACCGGCGCTCCGGACCAAGCCTCCGCAACAAGCACCCATAATCTCCTCCATCGACCATCGCCACCAGACTCGATCAGTCGCCTCCAACCACCGTACGTCCCTATCCACGTTCCTGCCCTCATCACAACCAATAGGCGACAGCCCCCATCTACCCATGTCCTCCTCTTCCGCCTCCTGCAGACCTCCGTTCATCACCCCCGCATCCCTCTCCCCGCCGACTAATCTGGCGCCTGCAAACCCTCAGCCGCCGCCGCCCCTCCCCCGTGCTTGCCACGCACACCGTCGGCCAAGCTCCACCACAACCCCGTGCCCAGATCCACGTCGCTGCCCAGCACCACACCGCCCGTGCCATACGAACCGGTCGCGTCCGCCGCCTTCAAAGCCAAGCTCGACCAGTAGCCCCACGCCGAGTCGAGCACGCCGACGTCCCGACGACCCGCTACCGCCACCTCCTCAACAGCCGCAATCCTCCCCTTCCCAACAGCGAGCCATCGTCCAACTCCCCGTGCCAGATCCGATCCGCGTCGTCAGCGTCGATTCATTCGACGAACCCCGAGGCAAGATCCCGCTTCTCATTGTCATTTAGATAATTATATATTATATGTGTAGATTAGTTTGTAGTGTAATTATCTGCGTGGGTTTGATGAATAATACTGAATGAATAGTAGTTATGTGATGAATAGTATTTCAAGGACAAATATAATAAATTAAAAAAAATTATTTGGGTAACAGAATTATTTTAGATTATTTATAAATTTTTAGAATTTATGTTGTGGAACAAAATTATTTTATAATGAGAAATGTTTTTAAATAAGTTATTTTGGAAAAAGATTATTTTTGTATTATGATCGTGTGATTAATAGTTGAAGAACCCGACGTTTCATGTACATTGACACCGACATGTTGACACTGTTATTTATACTCACTCATGTCATATATGCACACCTGATTTCATCGCTAGCTTATATAGTCATGTTCATCATATGATTTGCATAAGATTAGTTGTATTTATTTATTATTTCTTGTTTTGTTGAGAACCATTAGTAATTCATGTCCTTAGTTGCCTAGCGTGTCGTGTACAAGACCATGATACCTATGTATTATTGACTTAGAAAACAAGAAGAGTTGGGATGGGAAGGTCTGGGTTCATGTTATCAGATATGTTGTTGTTTATATCCAGGCTCGCACTAGTGAATCGTTTCGCACTGGGGTGGGTCTGAGGAGCAGTGATCAGATGTGTTTATTGTTTATTTCCAGGCTCGCACCAGTGAATCGTTTCACACTGGGGTGGGTCTGAGGAGCGGTGATATTGTGATTATTGATTATTTTCAGGCACGCATAGTGAATCGTTTCGCAGTGGGGCAGGCCTGAGGTACTAGTGAGATGTGGTTGTTAACCAGATATCCGATAATGTGAACCTTGACTCTATGTGAGATGTGAACCAGTGACCTGTTATAGGATGGCTAATTACATGACTTGTTTCTTGGCTAAGTATGAGTTCTTGTGAGATATAGGCTAGTTGTGTTTCTTTTCATACATAGATCATGATTAATATTTAATTATTTACAATTCGAGACATATGGTATATACATGAGGGTTTCCTTGTTTGGATTATTTCGCTCAACGTACTACGTCTCTTGTTGTAGATTTTTAAGTATTAATTCCATCTAATTGTATGACCTTATGACTTGGATGATTTGACTAATCGCTAGCTGCATGACCTCATTACCTGTTTGATTTATGGATTCTTATGATTATCATGTATTAGTAGTGAATTTGCATGTTGATTTTGTTGAATTTCCGGATGCATGTGCTTTTGTCAATTCTGTTATCGTATCGTTTTTTGTTTTGGTTTTTCATTGTTCTATTTATTTTGTGGGGTCTTGCTGTGTGCCATACACGCTGACGTATACCTGTTTTCTCTGGTATACGTCAGACTTAGAGGAAGAACAGGTCCAGCCAGGAGATCGCCAGGAGCTAGAGGATTCTTAACAGGTGTGCCTTGCAGAAGAGCAGAAGAAGAATCAGAAGTTTAGTTATTGGTCCTAGTTGTTTTTGGTAGTTTTATCGATGTATTTTTGTATCTCTTCAGTATTCATTTGTTTAGTTTTTGTATAAGGGCACATTTGACCCGTATTTTTATGTCTCGGATGTTATCCCATTTGTGATATGATATTTCTTTATTCTAAGTTTGTCTATTATATTCTTGCTGATTGTGATCGGGGACCTATGACTTCGCATTGTATTTATTTCTAGACGCTTAGCGTATTGGATTGAGAAGAAAAGAAGAGAAAAAAAATGATAGTGTGTATTTCTTCTCAATCTAATACGTCACGGACTTGTTCACGTTCCGATTCCCGGGTATTTTGAGAAGCGGGGCGTGACAGTGATTTCATTGAACTGAATAAAATTGATATTGATGAAATCATATATATGCATGTAAGTATGAAACAAAAATATGTTTTCTAATTATATTCAATTGTTTCATATTAAAACTTGAAAACTATCAAATCAAAACATATATGTATATATATAACTATATGTATACAAAACCAAAACGTGTATGTGTGTATATGATTGAGCTTAAAGTACTAACACACATAATATAAACCTAAAACTAAATTTACCCAAGCTTGTGATCTTCAACGGAGCTCTATCTTGGTACACTTGTGGATGAAGCTTGAACTTGAATCTTTAACTTGAATTCCATAGCTTCACTCCACTATTCCCGCCAACCTCCATTTGATATGATCATTATGACACAATTTCATCTAACCTCCAACATGTTGTTTGTCTATAATAAATAGATAAACACAAATACTAGACAAACAAATACTAGACAAACAACATTAGTGATAAATTGTTTGTTAAACATCATCAAAACAAAGAGGCCAATACTTAACAACCGACCCTAACCTTAACAACCAATTTTTGTATACTTTTCAATTAAAACTTTAGGGGAATTTCCCATTGAACCCTCTATTATCTTGTTTTTCACTAAACAACAAAACATTTCGCCCACATAATCCCAAAATGACAAAAATTGCCTCTCAGACCATACGAAATCTAGTTTACATTCCTTTTCATAATTTTTTTTATTTACTAATTGTCCTACCTCTCAGACCAGCTGATTTTTTAGCAAATCTTGGACGTTTGTTTTCTGATGCACCTGAAAACATAGCAGATGTCTATAAATACCCTAGCCTAGGGTTTCGTACCTGAGTGCAAAATTGTTAGGGGCAAAAAAAAGTCAGAGGTGGCTGCAGAGAGCAGGTGTGAAGGAGAAGAAGAAAAGTGCGGCTGCGGGAGAAAAAGTCAGCGGCTTTCTTTGGCTTCTTTCAAACAGGCTTTTGTGCTTTTGAGAGAGATAATTATGTGAGGGTTTAGATTGAGTGATTGTAAATCCTAGTTATCACTGGTGGAAAATCAAGTATCGCTGACGGGCATTCCCGTCAGCGATGCCCCAATTCCCGTCAGCGATAAGTATCGCTGGCATTCCAAAACATCTCGCAATGAATACAATCCAAATTTCCCCAATTAAACCTCTCATCCAATCAATTTTCACAAACAATCTAAATATATACATTCACTTTTCACGATAAGTTCCAAATCCACAATAATAATTTTCACAACAAACAATACACACGAGTATCACAACAAACAATCCACAATAATAATTTTCACAACAAACAATACACACGAGTATCACAACAAACAATCCACAATAATAATTTTCACAACAAACAATACACACGAGTATCACAACAAACAATCCACAATAATAATTTTCACAACAAACAATACACACATATCATAAGTTCTAAATCCACAATATACAAACACGAGTATCATAATCTCAACTATAAAGATGTCCACAATATACAAACACGAGTATCATAATCTCAACTATAAAGATGTCCACAATATACAAACACGAGTTTAGGATATAACTCACTAAGATAGGTCATCCGCCCTATCCATGTCATCGTCCGCGTTGCCACTTGCGGATCCATCCCTACGACTCGTGCTCCCAATAGTATCATCTCCAATCTAACAACAAAATAATTTAAATTTAGAATCACATAATATTGTGTGTAATCATGTTTTACATATATAATAAGTATACCTGTCTGCTACTCTCTCCACTACCAGTAAATGCCTTTTGAGTGGCCAAGAAGTTCATAATCTGGCTTTGCACCCGAGTAGGAACCCGCCTTCTACAAGATTTCATTATTTGCCTAGAAACCATCGCAAAAGTAGCAGTAGGCTGGATCACTCGCATAAGCTCCTCTTGAATATCCTCCCACATCTCCTCGGGAATCTGACCATCTAACATACTCATCACAGAGGAAACAAGCTGCATCGCCTGCTGAGTGCAATCCTCCTGCGGCATGTAAGAGGGCCCCGATGGCATAGTCGAGGGTGTGGAAATCGGCGGAGGCTGGAATTGTGTAGACACCCTCTGAGCTCCAACTCCCATCCACCTGGTCCTCCCTTTTTTAGGAAGTCCACAAACTAGATGGCTCACATTATAATTATGCTCTCTAGTCAGGGGCTCCTGGCTCTGTGCAACAACCTCAGAATACGTGTTTTCCAGAGCTTCCTAGAAGTCCAAAAAATAAAATTAAGAATTAACCTTTCAAAAATAAAAGATATTTACCTGAACAAGTAAAATAAAAGATGAAGTATGCATGCATCTTCCTTTACACATTCACACATATTAATAATGTTTATTGAGGAATTTAGATGCTAGTGGTTATGACATGCTTTTCTCTAGTAACCAAATTTAAATGATTTAAATGAAGGTTTTGTATTATGCTTTAGGAAGTTGATTGTTAAATATGTCGTTTTTATCTCTTTTACTTGTGAATATATTTATGATCCTATGTGAATATATAAATGAAAATGATAAGTTGCACAAGTCTTTTGACCAAATGTTGTGGATATTCTGCCGACCAAGGAACCCGTCACTCCCAGACACACACACACACCCCACCACCACCACCACCTCCTCATCAGACTCATTCTAGTATTTCAAGAAGGATGTTTGAGAGAATGGGTATCTCACACAGGGACAAATAGCGCAATTCAGTAGCAGCTGTATCACTGTCTGATGAAGCATGATGGAGAAAAGAAAACCAGAAAATAGATATGAAGCATGATGGAGAAAATTGCTAATTAAATCAAAAGTTGAAAGTACCTACAACGTGGGGGCATTTATCGAGAGAGCCACCTCAGGGTGGCTCGGCCAAGGCCGAGCCACCCCCTGGGGTGGCCGAGCCACCTCAGGGTGGCTCGGCATGAGCCGAGCCACCTTGAGGTGGCCGGCCACCTAGGGTGTCGGCCACACGTGCACACGGGCACAGTGACGCTTGGCTATAAATAGGAGAGGGGCTTGTTCATTTGAGAAGGTTGGAAATTTTGGAGAGAGGCGAAGCCCTGCTGGATTGGAGACTCGGAACTTAAAAAAGATTGAAACTTTGGGACTTCGGGGACTCACTCCTTCAGATCTGGTGCTCGGCGATCATCAACGTCAAATAAGGCAGGTGTTCGAGAGGACCGGATCTCAGATCTACGCAGGCTACACTCCGGATCTAAGCTTGGTCTTAGATCCCGAGACTTGGACAATTGTTTCCTTGGTGAAACAATCCTCCCCGGCTATTATTTCCTTGGTGAAATAATACCCGTCGTACTGCGTAGATCCGACCGGATCTAGATCTCGCGGTGGTCCACGGCAAACAACCCCGGCGCAGGCAAAGAACCCACCAAGCGAGCGACCGCAAAACAGGAGCTCGCGATTCGTTCGACACAAAAGGAGAAAAGTTGTAATCTTTGTTTATTTTTCTTCGATTTTCATTGTAACCGGATCTTATAAAAAGACCGGATCTTTTGTAACTCAAAAAGTTGTAACTCAAGATGACAATGGAATCAATAACAAAGAAACTTACGATTTTCCCCGCGAACAGTCGCCCTTTCCAACATTATTACATGGCTCATTGTCCCCCAAATGCACTTTTCCAAAGTCCCCTGCTGTATAATTCTGAAGAAGCTTCTTATTAACAGTGGCGTGGAAAGAGGCTCCTGAGTCGATGACCCAAGAATCTGAATCGCTGTCCATAGCAAGGATCAAAGCATCCTGCTCACCCGCATCTTTCTTTGGACTTTTGCAGACTGAAGACATATGGCCCTCCTGACCGTAGTTCCAACACTTCCCTTTGATAAGCCTAACCTTCTTCTTCGACTTCTTCTTCGACTTCGACCGATTCCTGTTCTGGTTTCCTTTCTTCTGGCTTCTGTCTCTCTGTTCAAAACTTAGAGCTGAACCTGAACCTTCTGATTCGGATGATTTTCTTCTAACCTCCTCAGATAGAATCATGCAAACAACCTCACTCAGCTTCAACTTCTCTTTCCCCGCTAAATTACTGATTGCCATCGCACAGCCTGCCTAACTATTCGGCAACCATGATAGAATCAATAGGACTCGCACTTCGTCATCAAACGTGATACCCATAGAGATAAGTTGATCAACAATAGTGTTGAACTTACTGAGGTGCATCGTGAAGGACCGTCCTTCTGCCATCTTAAGGTTGAATAAAGTTTTGACGAGATGCACATTGTTTGCTACAGACGGTTGCTCGTACATCTTCACGAGCGCTTTCATAAGCCCTACCGTCATCTTCTCCTTCAATATGTTGTGGGATACTAACTTGGCGATCGACAACCAGATTTGCCCTAGAGCCTTCCTATCCAGTATCTCCCAATCATCGCCTGACTCCTCATTCTTCTATCCTTTATCTTTTCCCATCAACGGACGATACAAGTCCTTCTGGTACATATAGTCCTCCATCTGTGACTTCCAGTAGGCGAAGTCTGAACCGTCAAACTTCTCGATCTTAAATTTAATTTCCTCTGTCATGTCTCTCTTTCTCACAAATTTGCTGAACGAGGCTCTGATACCAGTTGTTAGGGATTCGAAACAATCAAATCGAATATGTACCCTTCCGGATCTTGTGTTTGAGAGTTGAGCAAGAAAAAAATTCACCACAAATCAAAGATAAAAAAACTTATAGGAAATAAGAACAAAAAACACACGGATTTAACAAGGTTCGGCAACGTGCCTACGTCCTTGGGAGCCACACCACACAATTCATTTAATTAATTGAAGAAGGAATACAAACATTCAAACTAGGGTTTAATCTCTCTAAGATTCTCTCTCAAAAGCTCTCTTTTTCTTGTCTTCTGACCTTTTTTTCGACATTCTCATTAGCCCTAGAAACATATAGGTATATATATGAATTCCAGCCCAAACAGAATTCAAAACAGTTTAGGAAACTGCCAGCTCGACTCGTGGTCGACCATCAAACCAGTTGCGGTCGACCAGATAAACGACATAAACCCAAAAAACACCTACAGGGTCTCGCAGTCGACCGGACCATCTACTGTAGTGGACCAAAAAAAGTCCAGAGACTTTTCCTATCTCGTTCACGTTCGCGGTCGACCGCACCAACCACCACGGTCGACCGTAGCTTGTCTTGACTGTTTCCTTCGTCTTCCTGATTCCAGCTTCGGCTTCAGCTTTGGGTCTACACTTAGACTAACACTTTCGGGACTGCTAGTCCTATAGATTCTGCAAAAACAAAATCTACGAGACTATTAGTCCCGTTGAATTGCTGGGCGTGCATAAAAATGTGCACAAACAGTAACCGGGACCACTAGTCTCATATATTTTGCATAAATATAATCCACAGGACTAGTAGTCCCATAGATTTCCTGGAAACCCCACCATGTCATTGTATTACTCCTCAAAAAAGCTGATTACATAAAAAGTTTGCACCCCCTATAGACATAAGCATAAAATCACCAGTACTCCACCCATGTCATTGTATTCCAAACCCATTGTCGATATTTATCGCAAACACAGATACATACAGATATCAAAACATGTCCTTAATTACATGCGAACTAGAGCCTAATCATTCTGAAGATAGTCACAAAAACAAAATGTAAAGCAGAATACAAGAAGCCAAAAACTTATTGCAAATTATTTAGTTATCTTTATCCTTATAGATCAACAAATCTGTATACACTCGTAGTT